GATGACACATTATATGGTTTGCAAATTTGGTCTAACACAAGTCTTCCTTGACCACCATCATGTGATTCATTAACGTCAGAAATTCAAATATCAAACTTGAGACGTGGCTTGTGAAATACAAGCCTGAAATTCATCTCCAACCAATGGAATATATATATATATATATATATATATGTATATATATATATATATTTTGTGTTAACTAAAGTGTTTTTTTTGAAACATCACCATTCATAAGAGGCTTACATGTAAATTGTAATGCTGATATTGTTTTGTGATATTTCCAGTCAATAATAATACACGAAGAAACTCATAATTGTTATTATATTATTAGCTCACGAAGCTAATGGTCATATACTTGTTACATGTATTTCCCATCGCTAGAGATCCTCATCAAATAATAAACATTCACAATCACAACAGTTTTCATCATCAGCTGTAAATCAAACCCAAAATCAGTTTCACTATTTCCAAACTATCCAAAAATCAACTCGTACCACGTTAAACATCAGTACACCGACTAGCTACATGCACACAAATTCAATAGATGAAGGCACTTTTCTCTTCAGGTAATTCATTGCTGTCATCTCTTGCCTTCTCTTCCAACACGACTTCTCCATTTTCTGTGTTAATTTCACGATTGACGGGAAGTCGTGTTGGAGGATGCGTTTGACTAGGATACCTCCAACGATTGACAATATCAATAACAATTTTCTCTAATGCCACAAGATTCTTGATTAAGTACGTGACATGTCTTCTAGCAGGTGCATCAACGCGATAATTAACCTTCGATTTCCACTAACTTGAGGCAGTGATGGGGGCATGCTTTAGATTTCTTAATCTCATCCACATATTCCCCGTCACCAATGTAATTCATCTGCGCCAAGGAAACAATTTTAATTTTTGTTTATACCTTTCGTTCTTCAAAATTATCAACAGAAATGTTTTACTAAGTGATCTACGAAGTACAAACACATACCTTCACCAAGTGAAGGAATGGTAAAGGGGAAGCTGTATCGATGCAGCGTAGATCAGAATAGATACCTCAACAAGTGAAGGAACATTACCGAGACGCAGGTCTATAACACTACCTTGATAGATAAATGAAACAAGGTTTGCGTCACGAATCTCAATCCTTTTGAGGTGAACACTTGCGTATATCACGAGATACTTCAATGCAATTGAGGAGCCAACAGCTCTTAAGTTAACCAAACTTTTGGCACCAAACACTATTAATCATTCAGGAAATGGACGGTTACACAAGAAGTATTGAAGAGTATTAACAGTCACATCAACATAGCAGATATTAAGAATTTTTAAGAATTTAAATTCACTATTGTATCCATGAGAGGGATTTGGATCCTCTCCTGACCAATCATTATGGGCCATTGGATTTTAATCCAACGGCTACAAATAGAAGATCTCTTTAAAGTTATAATAAGAGTGTAAAATGACCATTTTCCAAGACCTAGTAAGTAGTCGGGACATATTATTGGTAGTAATCATATCTTAAAAAGAATTCCAAGTCAAGTTTTGAACTCCCTTTTCCATTGCAAATTGATTCCATTTATCAACAGAACTTGTAAACCAACCATCTAGTGGAACGCATTCCTTGAATTCTTCGACCATTGGGCCTTTGTGTTGTTCCATGACACGATTCACCTAATTGATGTATCTATAGATTTCCATGTCTCTTAAATTCCGTTTGAGGGCTATTAAACCTATCACATTTTTATTAAGATGATAGTTAGCATTGTTAGGTACTCAAGCTCAATGGAAGAGCCCAGCCCAAAAGACTAGTCCAGTAAGTGGGAGGACCCCAAGAACTTAAGTACCACTACACCATTTCTGATGTAGCCGATGTGGGATCATAACATCACGCCACCCTTCGGAAGATCTGACGCCCACGATGGCCCTTACTTTGGTGGCTTTCACTCTTAATGGCGGTGCATCCTTTGGTCGTCCCCTTAAGGTAGCCATTTTCAGGTCGCCCCCTCCGCAGCGTCGGGAACCTAGGCTCTGATACCAACGTTAGGTACTCAATCTCAAGGGAAGAGCCCAACCCAAGAGACTAGTCCAGTAAGTGAGAGGACCTCAAAGACTTAAGTACCACTGCACCATTTCTGATGTAGCTGATGTGGGATCATAACAAGCATCAAAGTTGAGAGTTTAGTAGACATCCACGCGTACTATACCATTGCTTTGAAAGGATATGTCTTTCTCAAGATACACTCACCTGTATTGGGAAGATAAAATATATAAATCCTAATGAAACCTAAGAATTTGAAAATTTAGAGGGTATATAAACTATGGGTGTGTGTTTCATCTCATTAAGTTTCATTGGACTGGCTAGGATTACTAGTCAATGTAATCCCATGTTTGTTTCTTGCATGGACTAATTTAAATGAGACTAGCAGGGACTCACGCTGACTATGCGCTTCATTAGCCGGTCTTCGCTAAGGACCCCAAAATCAGGCGGACTGCTAAGACCTTCACCCCTCCCATCTATGTCTTCTTCTTCGCTTCGCCCCTACCCCCACGCTTCGCTCCACGTCGACAGAGACTCCACGGTTGGATCGATGTCGCGGCTCTTGTGGCCTCATGGCGCTGGATTTGGGTTCACCGACTGCCTCACCGTGCTGAATATGGGATCGATTTTCTTCTGGAATTGCCCTTCTTTATGTGTTTTGTTGATTGAATTGTTGTGGGTTTGTTTTGGATTGTCTTATTTGGGGATTTTGGCGTCTGGGTTGGTGAAGTTTTGTGGGTTTTTGTACTTAGGTTTTGGAAGTTGAGGCAAGTAGTACCTCTCAGACTTTCAGAAATTTTGGATGGGTTTTTGGAACAGATGGGGGATATGCCCTGCAATTCGATGGGTTTGGAACATATGGGTTTTGGAATAGATGGGGTCAAAGTTGCAGAGTACCTGCAATTCGAGAAGAAGAAGAGGGATATGCTCTTTTTTTATTCATATATTAATTTTGATAATAATAAATTAAAATATAATAATAACTTTTAGTTAGTCCATCTTCTTAGTTCGACACTGCACTAAACACTTTACTAAGTTAGTCCAACTTAATCTATTCTAAACCAGTCCAGTTTAGTTCCTGCAGCTAGTCCAGTCCGAGATAGTCCGGTGTAACAAACGCACCTTATATGCATATTGGTTACATACACACCACTAAATCCACATATTTATAGTTATACTTTAATATGCCTTTTAACCAAGATCAAAATCAGTTTTTCAAAGGTGGTGTTGTTCATATACCAATTTTTATCTTCCACACACTCTGTTAATTTTTCTCTTTTAATTCTTTTCAATTCATTCAATTTGATATCTGAAAATTGAGAAGAATGTGAAAAGTATCTCTCTGATTGACTAACTCTCTTAAAGTTGTGCTTTACCAACCATTTTTGTTAGCCAAGTCTCCTTCTCTTTCAACCATTTTTGTTAGCCAAGTCTCCTCTTTCTACAAGCAATTTCGGGAAGGTGAATTTGGGAAGTCTGTACCATTGAACTCTGTATCTGTAATCCATCTCCAACCCATTTAAATCGTATGTGCGCCGCCGGTCCCACTTTATCCAATCATTCACGCAAAGAATTGACCTCCCATATTCTACCCTCGACTCATCGTTGACTCTCTTTGTTTCAGTGCTGGCCTCAAATTTAGTCGGTACAACCGTGTTGCTCACATGACCAAAATATGTAATAAATAAAAAGTTAAAAATCCGTTGCATTTTGCCCAAACACATTAATAGCTTAACGCGTCTTACTTGCTCTAAAATCTTGATTTAAATAACACTTTTTTCTTCTGTCACTTAATATTACGGTCAATTAGCATTTATTTATTTATTTATATGTGAGAGGTTTCATGGTCAATTCTTGTCAAAGACGGATTCGAACTACATTATTATTGTTCGCTTATTGTGAGACTTAGTCTAGTACCTCATCCCCGTAGTGTAGATAATATTATTTGTTCAAAAAAAAAAAAAAACTTTTTCTCTCAAAGGGGTAATGGTAGAGAGACCACACTTTTTTAACCAAATTTTGTAAACCAAATGATGTGGATGTTAATGATTGGATTATTACTTAAGTGTTGATTAATATGCTTATTTTCTATTGGTGACACATTATTTGATTTGCAAATTTGGTTTAAAAATTTAGTCTCCCTAGCATTATCCCTCTCAAAGTTCGATTCCTAATTTTCCATTGATCATAGTAATTAGTGTTAATATATTTGTATGTGTATATGACTATGTGAATGAAATAGAAACTACACACTTATTAACAGGGTCGGCCCTGAGGGTGGCGGCCGTCTAGGCTCCCACTCCTAAGAGACTCACATTTTATATAAGACACACATATATACATGTGTGTGTATATATAAATTAATTTTACAGACTTTGAGTCTTTGTCTAAATATATATACAATAGCCCATTGCCTCTGCAGAAATAAGTTTTTCAAAGTTAAAGTTGATAAAATCTTATCTTCGGTCAACTATGTCGCAAAAGAAGATTGAATGAGTTAGATATTTTTTAATTGAAAAAGTTACTAAACTTAATTAGTACATTTACATATGAAAATGCGAGATATGTAATATTTAAGCAATATATTTTTTTGACGAAAATCAGAAAAATCTCGGCCTCTAGTTCAAAGCTCGCCTAGACATATAAACGAATATTTTCTTTTTCTCCTTTTGGGCGTGAATGTTTGAATTTATGGTTTATAGATAGTGGGAATTGGCAAGTCAAAAAATCGAAACCCTCACATGGTGAAATGGGGCCAACAATTTTGACCAAAAATATAGGGTCAACAATTTTGGCCAAAAAAAAAGTGGGCCAACAACTTATGTTATGACATTAAGAAAAAACATAACTAATGGTAATGATATGATTACCATCCATGATGTCCCATGCCAACACTATACTTCCGATCATGACATGGAGAAACCCCATGAAAGTTTTATCTCACGTTAGCATCTTATCCTCCTATAAATTCAATGCTGCAAAAGCTAGAGAAAGTGGCCAACCAAACAACAAAGCCGAAGTCTTTTTCCATCAAACTTTTTCATAAAGTTTGGAATTTTGGAGGGAAACGAAACTTGGGTTCTTGTTGGTTTTTAATTTCAAGCTACTAGCTAGCCAAGTTCCAAGCTGTTCTTCTTCAATGGAGATCAGTTGTGATATTCAGAAAGCTGGCCACAGTTTTAGACGAAGTGGTTCTTCCTTCTGGATTGACAATGGCAGCGGAGTTTTCTCAACGTCTTCGCACGGAGAGGACGATGAGGAAGCTCTCAAATGGGCTGCTCTTCAGAGACTTCCAACGTTTCAGCGCTTGAAGAAAGGCCTGCTCGCTACTCCTCAAGGGGAGACCAACGAAGTTGACGTGAGCAATCTTGAAGTGAAAGAAAGGAAGAATTTGATCGAGCGGTTAGTTGGAGTAGCCGAGGAGGATCATGAGAACTTCTTGTTGAGACTCAAGAACCGCATTGATAGGTGAGAATTCAAAATTTTCGCAACTCTGCGTGTTGCCATCTTCTCGGTTTTTGATAATGATGGGGGTTGTTTTACTTGGTTTTTATCTCAGAGTTGGAATTAATCTTCCAAAAATTGAAGTTAGATTCCAGCATTTGAAAATTGCAGCTGAAGCTTATGCAGGAAGCAGGGCTCTGCCTACAGTTTTTAATTACTGTGTCAATTTAGTGGAGGTAAATGATTAACTACTAGAGTTCCAAGTTCTCCATTGCATGTTTGGACCCGTCTGATAACCATTTCATTTTTAGTTTTAGTACATTCTTACTGAATATTTGTTTTCGGCTTCCTAAGGGTTTGTTGAACTCCGTTCATATTCTTCCTAGCAAGAAAAAGCACTTGTCTATCCTCAGAGATGTTAGTGGGATCATTAGGCCTTGCAGGTGAGAGAACGTTGCAAATTTGGTTCATCTGTGTTTTGTGTTTCGGTCGGAAAATAAAATCTGACCTGGTTGATCATGTGTTTATTGTACAGAATGACACTGCTTTTGGGTCCTCCGAGTTCCGGAAAGACCACTCTCCTGTTGGCTTTGGCTGGAGAGCTTGACCGGGATCTTCAGGTTAAACAACACGAAATCTGGGTTTCTGATTTCCGGTTTTAGCTTCAGGGGTTGCTCTTGGTTTTTGTCACTCGTTTATCTGAGAAAAAAATTGTTGTGCAGTTTTCAGGACGTGTGACGTACAATGGTCACGGCATGCATGAGTTTGTGCCTCAGAGGACTGCTGCCTATATCAGCCAACATGATGTTCATATGGGAGAATTGACAGTCGGAGAAACATTGAACTTCTCTGCAAGATGCCAAGGGGTCGGAGACCGTTATGGTGGGTTTAGAGAACTGACTTCTGTTCAATTTTCAGAATCAAACTGATGACTCTATTAATCGTTGTTGGTTTGAATTATGGCAGAGATCCTAGTCGAGTTAAGTAGACGAGAGAAAGAAGCGAATATTAAGCCGGATGCAGACATAGATATCTACATGAAGGTGAGAAACAAGAAAAGCTACTTAGCAGAACTTAGATATCTACTTGAGAGGTCAATTAGTTAGTTAGTTAGTGTGTTGTTAATTATGTTTTCGGAATAATCAACAATTTACGTACTGTTAATTCACTGTTTCGGTTAATATAGGCGGTGGCATCAGAAGGCCAGAGGGTACAAGTGGTGACAGATTATACACTAAAGGTAAAATCACCTTTATATTTTGTACTAAGAGAAGGATTTTCTGAAAATTACCCTTTATTGATCAGAAATTCATTTGATTTTTCCAGATTTTGGGATTAGATGGATGTGCAGATACCTTGGTGGGGGATAACTTGATAAGGGGCATCTCCGGCGGACAAAAGAAACGACTCACAACTGGTAGAAACATAATTCTAGTTCTTAATAAACCACATGATTTTCAAAATTTTAAGCTAGTGATTTTGATTAATGAATTTTATATAGGTGAGATGTTGGTTGGACCGGCTAAGGCATTGTTCATGGACGAAATATCTACGGGTTTGGATAGCTCAACAACATATCAAATCGTGAATTCGATCAAGCAATATGTTCACATTCTCAATGGGACTGCATTCATCTCACTGCTGCAACCAGCACCTGAGACTTATGAACTATTTGATGACATTGTTCTCCTTTCTGATGGTCACATCGTGTACCAAGGTCCTCGTGAAAATGTTCTTGAATTTTTCGAATCCATGGGGTTCAGATGTCCTGAGAGGAAAGGCGTGGCGGACTTCCTGCAAGAAGTATGTCACTACATAGATGTGGTTTGAGCATTACACATAAAAGTGTCATATTAATTTTCCATGAGTGAATAAATCATAATATTGAATGTTGTAGGTGACATCAAGGAAAGATCAGGAGCAGTATTGGGCAAGCAGAGATGAGCCTTACAGGTTCATCACGGTCGAAGAATTTGTCGAGGCATTCCAATCATTTCACATCGGGCGCAAACTTAGAGATGAACTCGCAACTCCATTTGACAAGGCCAAGAGCCACCCAGCTGCATTAACAACCAAAAGATATGGCGTTAGTAAAACTGAACTGTTGAAAGCTTGCTTTGCGAGGGAGTTCTTGCTCATGAAGAGGAACTCATTTGTCTACCTTTTCAAGCTTGCCCAAGTAATGTTTTCCTTTATTCGACTTACTCAATGCTTCACGCAAACTTACATGTTTTTAATCTTTATTAAAAGTTTCCTTATTTTCTTTAGCTCTCAATCTTGGCTATGATTACAATGACATTGTTCCTACGAACTGAGATGCATCGCAATTCAGTAGATGACGGGGTAATTTATGCTGGTGCTTTGTTCTTCTCCCTGGTTGCTGTTATGTTCAATGGACTGGCAGAGCTTTCGATGACTGTTACAAAACTCCCGGTATTTTATAAGCAGAGAAACCTCCTCTTCTTTCCGCCGTGGACATATACCCTTCCCTCGTGGATCCTAAAGATCCCTATCACCTGTGTTGAAGTTGTGGTTTGGGTATTTATGACCTATTATGTCATCGGATATGATCCAAATGTCGGAAGGTAAAAATAACTAGAAAATTCCCCTACCTTTTTCATGTTTTCTCCATCCGAAATGATAAATATTTATGCACATTATGCAGGTTGTTTAAGCAATGGCTTCTACTCCTACTCATTAATCAGATGGCTTCGGGGTTGTTCCGATTCATTGCTGGAGTTGGTAGAAGCATGACTATTGCAAGCACATTCGGATCATTTGCACTTGTCATGCTTTTCTCCTTGGGTGGTTTTGTTCTGTCAAGAGGTATAACAGTAAAAAAAAAAAAAAAAAACTTACTGTTTCATTACATACTGGTATTTGAACTTGTATATTTATCTTTTGGTTTGGATGGCGCAGTCGATATAAAGAAATGGTGGATGTGGGGCTACTGGATATCGCCTTTGATGTACGGACAGAATGCAATAGTAGTCAATGAGTTCCTCGGAAAGAGTTGGAGACATGTAATTCCTTTGAAAATTCATTTCAAACATTCTAGTTTTTGTGTTTTGTCCCCAATTCATATTCTAAGTTCTTTTTTACCTTGAAGGTTCTTCCGAACTCAACGGAACCATTGGGAGTCGCTGTTCTGAAGTCACGCGGATTCTTTACAGAGCCTCGTTGGTATTGGATTGGCGCAGGAGTATTGGCTGGATACATGCTTATATTCAACTTCTTTTTCACTTTGGCTCTCACTTATCTAAAGCGTGAGTACTTTCGTCTTAATTCTTTGCATCAAATCTTCAAAGCGACAGTTAACTCAGAATATATAAACACTGTGCAGCAATTGGGAAGCCACAGGCTGTTAAGTTGGAAGATCCTATCTCGACTCCTCAAATTAGTAGAGGTAATATATCTTACATTCATGGATGTCGCTTTTGTGTGCAATTGTCTATCCGGCATAAATTTTTTGATCTTTTTGACAAAACCAAATTTTGTGGGTGTACAGAAAATGGAAATGGAAGTAACTCCTCCAGGTCTTCCTCAATTACAAAAGAAGCTACTAATGACGCAAATGGTAACAAGAAAAGAGGAATGGTTCTTCCGTTCGAACCACATTCCATCACCTTTGATGAAATCACATACTCCGTGGACATGCCACAGGTGATGTATATGCAACCAAAGTAAAATGTGTCTGACACTTGACAAGCTTGTGCAAATCCAAAATTGTGACACATTTCTTTGAATCGAAATTGCAGGAAATGAAGAATCAAGGTGTTCCCGAGGATAAACTGGTGCTCATTAGGCGTGTAAGTGGTGCTTTTAGGCCTGGTGTTTTGACAGCTCTAATGGGAGTGAGTGGGGCTGGTAAAACAACTCTAATGGACGTACTAGCCGGTAGAAAAACTGGAGGATATATTGAGGGAAATATCACAATTTCCGGGTACCCAAAAAAGCAGGAATCGTTTGCCCGGATTTCTGGATATTGTGAGCAGAATGACATCCACTCTCCTCATGTTACTGTCTATGAATCCTTGATGTACTCAGCATGGCTGCGTTTATCTTCAGAAATCGATTCTGAAACCAGGAAGGTTGGTATTCGAGCTTTGTAAGCTTAAATTTAATTCTTTATGAACTGATGGAAAATTAGGTCCAGTTATTAAGGCAACTACTGGCCTCATTGTCATTATGTTTCATAAACTTGAACATGATTGCAGATGTTCGTTGAGGAAGTTATGGGACTTGTGGAGCTAAATCCGTTGAGGCAAGCACTAGTAGGGTTGCCTGGTGCGAGCGGTCTTTCAACTGAGCAGCGTAAGAGGCTGACCATTGCGGTTGAACTAGTGGCTAACCCCTCCATAATATTCATGGATGAACCGACTTCAGGCTTGGATGCAAGAGCTGCAGCCATTGTTATGCGAGCAGTTAGGAACACCGTGGACACTGGAAGAACAGTTGTCTGCACCATCCATCAGCCAAGCATTGACATATTTGATGCTTTCGATGAGGTGAAAATCAAAATCTTCTTTGATACAAATTGTTTGAACTTTGAACTCTATTTTGACTGGTCTTTTCTACTTGAGTATGATATATGTAACATGTCGTTGCAGCTATTCCTACTGAAGAAAGGAGGACAAGAGCTCTACGTAGGACCATTAGGCCGCCATTCTTGCAATTTGATCAAGTACTTTGAGGTATAGTGAATGAAGAAATTTCAAGCCTTGATAGCTTTATAATTGTTGAAGGTTTTCTAATGCATGCACATTAATATCTAGGGGATCGATAACGTCAGTAAAATTAGGGATGGCTACAATCCAGCAACATGGATGTTGGAAGTCACTTCGTCAGCCAAAGAAATGGCTATGGAGATTGATTTTGCTGAAGTGTATAAGAAATCAGAACTGTACAGGTTTGTTTATTACCTATTGGCCTAAGAAACCATTTACAAAAGAATGTCTCTCTTCGTAAACCAGATTTGTTGAGAAAATGTACTTATATATGGCATAATTGCAGGAGAAACAAAGCACTTATTGCAGAACTAAGCAACCCTGCTTCTGGTTCTAAGGATCTTCATTTTCCTACTCAATACTCTCAGCCCTTTTTATCCCAATGCGTAGCTTGCTTATGGAAACAACATTGGTCCTATTGGCGCAATCCGCCATACACAGCCATCAGGTTGATCTACACAACCATCGTAGCATTGATGTTCGGCACAATGTTCTGGAACCTTGGCTCCAAAACGTAAGTCACAATGCCTCGCACATAAAAGATAAATATACTCTAACCAATACGTCTTGCTTCCAATGTAACTATGAAACTTTTGAGTACAGAACGAAAGAAAAGGATCTCTTCAATGCAATTGGTTCAATGTACGCTGCTGTTCTCTTTCTCGGTATCAAAAATTCCACAACGGTGCAGCCTGTTGTGGACTGTCGAAAGAACAGTCTTCTACAGAGAACGAGCTGCTGGAATGTATTCTGCCTTGGCATACGCCTTTGCACAGGTGACTAATCATACATTTTACCTAAGACTAGCCTATATTAAATTTAATTTATACGATTACTTGCATTATTTATCTTATCTTATGCCAAGCTTCCATATTTCGTTGCAGGTTACAATTGAGATCCCTTATGTTTTTGTACAAGCCCTTGTCTATAGTGTCATAGTTTACGCAATGATCGGGTTTGAATGGACTCTGGCTAAATTCTTGTGGTACTTATTCTTCATGTATTTCACATTTTTGTACTTCACCTACTATGGCATGATGGGAGTGGCCTTGACGCCGAATCAACACATAGCCGCTATAAATTCCAGCGCATTTTACGCAATATGGAATGTCTTCTCGGGGTTCATAATCCCACGGACTGTAAGTGTTGCTTTGCCCTTAGTTCCTAACTTATGCAGGCTTTGATGTCCTTAGAAGTTAAAACATATACTGATGTTTTATTTTCTGATCCTGCAATTTTCATTCGTGTTCATTTCGCCAACGGCAGAGGATTCCTATATGGTGGAGATGGTACTATTGGGCGTGTCCGATGGCCTGGACCTTGTACGGACTGGCTACATCGCAGTTTGGAGACATACAGGACGAGCTCGAGACGGGTGCAACAGTGGAAGAATTCATGAGGCAGTACTTCGGTTTCAAGCAAGAATTTATCGGAGTGGTTGCAGCTGTGGTTGTTGGATTCGCTCTACTCTTTGCACTTATCTTTGCCTTGTCCATCAAGATGTTGAGTTTCCAGAGGAGATGAATATTTTGTTGCTTGTACATCAAGAATGCAGGAACTGCTTTGATCTTATGTGCAACTTTTTGTAATTGGTCAATCCCTTCCTAAGTTTATAAATGTTATAATTCTTTTGGTACAAACACTCCAATGAATGGAGATAGAGCTATGATACAACACTATCATAGCATAAATATAAACAATTTAATATTAAAATTGAAGTGTTAGATTTAGTATTTAATCCAAATTTTATAAGAAAAAATATTTCTTTTATTCAAGTTAAATTCTAATATAATTTTAATTAAGTACTAGAGAGAATTCAAACTTGAGTACATAGTAGAGAGCACACTGTTCTAACCAACCTCTTTAAACTAATATGTTTAATCAACCAAAAAAGGGGCGTTTTGATATAGGCGCCTCGTTTTTTAATTTTTTAGATTAAACATACGCTCCTTTTGAAAATTTGATCAAACATTTTCCTAAAATTTTGGTTATTAATTTCAGTTTTTCACATAAGTTCAATTTTGTTTAGAATTTTAGTTTTTCACGACTTCTCCTGGACATTTCATTTTTTTTTTCTTTTCCTATTATCCCTATATTTATGCATTTATTATCCATCTTTATGCATTTTTTTATTGTTTGTTATGATTTTTACTTTTTTTTTTTTTGTGAATATAGTAGGATATTTATAAAAAAAAATTGTTAGATTTTATTATTTAGAAAACCCAACACATAATAAAGATTTGTTTGATTATATAGCTACATTTAATTACCTATAATATAGACACATTTAATTTTATAGTGGATTTGATTTTTTGTATTTCTCGGTAAATTTGGAATGTAAATGTATCAAAAAGAGTTATTTGATAGAGACATTTGGTTTTGTGGTACATTTGGGATTTTTTTGTTCATTTGGTCTTTTAGTACATTTAGAATCTAAACGTACCAAAAAGGTTACCTGACAATGGGCACATTTGGTTTTATGGTACATTTGGTTTTTCTGTACATTTGAAATCTAAACGTACCAAAAGGGTTACATAACAATAGGTACATTTGGTTTTATGGTACATTTGAATTTTTGGTACATTTGGTTTCTCGTACATTTGAAATCTAAACGTAGCAAAAGTCGATACTTTTGTTCTCAAATGTACCATAAGTTTTAAGTATATTTTTTTATATATCTATATGTGAAAAAAAATATGTATTGAAGACTTTTTATTGAGACATTTTTAATAGAAGGAGAATTTTTTTTTTAAATACTGATAATAAGGAAATGAGGAATTAGTTAATTAATCTTTTATTTTATTTTATTAAAAAAATATCATTTAATGCGTAGAAGGGGATTGACGAAATTAAATTCCTATATTATAGACAATTAGTTGCTAAGCTACCTTATGCCTCTACATAAATGCATTTAAATTAATAACATGGAAATTAAATAAATAGAAAATTATTGAGATGACAATTGATCAAAGCACCTTAATCAAATCTTTAAAAGGGATGAATGTTTAATCTAACAATTATAAAAAATATATAGGGCATTCTAATTTTCCTGTTTAAATATGATTACTCCACTCTAACTAATACCGAGACTTTTTGTGGTAATACCCCACACCTGATGGATTGGGCAGGTGGTAAAGTTGGGGACATTATCGGTGTCGTTAGTGTGAGACCCCTGGGCTCGTCGATCTAAAAAAAATTTCAACATAGTATCAGAGGCCTCGGTTACGGGCTTGTCACAAGTAAGTGTGGGCTTAGAAACAAGCTTGGATTCTTAACATAGAGCCGGCTCTCTGAGTTTTTAAAGGGCACTTCCTGAAAAGACTGAAAACAAGTCTAGACTCCATTGGAGCCGACCTCTGAGTTTCAATTGCCGATGTGTGGACCTTCACGTGTGAACTACTAAATGAGGTTACACGTGAGAAGGCGTGTTAGCAGTCTCACATCGGTGGGGGTAAAGAAAAGCAATAACTTTAAATAGGATTACCCCACTCTAATTAATACCGATGCCTTTTTGTGGTAAAACCCTACACCTAACGGATTGGCCAGGTGGTAAAGTTGGGAATAATATTGGTATCATTACTCATTAGAATGGGCCCCCTAGGCCCGTCAATATAAAAAATTCCAACATGGTATCAGAGCCAAGGTTCATGCCCATGCAAGCTAATGAGCTTGTCACCAATAAGGAAATAATCCAGGACTCTTAACATAGAGCCGGCCTCTGAGTTCCATTGAAAGTAAGTCTGGACTATTAACATAAAGCCGACTTCTGAGTTTCAATTGGCGATGTGTGAATCTTTGCGTATAAACCACTAAATGGTCCCACATTGGTGGGTGAAAAAGAAAATCATGGGTTTAAATATGATTACCCAACTCTAACTAATATTGAGATATTTTTTGATAAAACCCTACATCTGATAGATTGGACAGATGGTAAAGTTAAAGACAGTTTCAATGTTATTAAAGTGAGGCGCCTGGGCCCACGGATGCAAAAATCCAACATGCATATCGTCCACACCATTTCCTTTGGGTAGCTTTCTTTGATGAATTTGTATGCCGTGGAGTGGATGATTCCCTACCGTCCACTCAGCAATCATAACACATTCCGCTCCAATTTCTCAATTTTTTAGAAAATTCGAATTGAATCTTTGAAAAAAAAAAAGAGAAGCAGTTCGTTCATCTTCTCGTTTGTTTTTATTTTTATTTTTTCTTGGAAATCCAAGGCATCTTCATCTCCCTCGTTTTTCTGCCATAATTTTGAGGAACAAAAAAGAAGAACAGCAGAAGATGAGTGGGTTGAAGCCAATGGACGCTGAGCAACTCAGAGAGAATGCCCACAAAATGGTAGATTTCATTGCTGATTACTACAAAACCATTGAGGATTTCCCTGTCCTCAGCCAAGTTCAGGTTTCAACTCTCAATCCCATCTCTCTCTCTCTCTCTCTCTCTCTCTCTCTCTCTCTCTCAATTTTCTTTTACGAGCAATATTCTACATTAAACTAATTTATACCGTTAGAAGGGGATTCAAACTCGGTGCACTGGGTGGTTGTTGTGTTGCACATCCTTTCAACCAATATGGCTATGCACACGCGTTCCTTTCTCTCTTATATTTTAAATGCAAAGCCAATTTGAACTCTGAAGAAATCTCTATTTCTTCCGTTTATCAGTGTTGCCATTAGGTTTTGTGAAAACTTTTCAAAGTTTGAATCTAAGTATTGGAAGTATTCCACATATATTGGCACAGATGATGACTCAGTTAATTCAAGTTTTTCTGTTGTTATAACTTTAGTCACATTTTGCAGCCTGGATATCTTCGTGATCTTTTACCGGATTCTGCGCCTACCTATCCCGAGTCTTTGCAACAAGTTTTCGATGGTGAAATTTCTAATAGGGTTCTTATGTTCTAGATTTTCTTGCATACCTATTGCAAATGTGTATACAAAAGAAAATTCATGGCCTGATTATATATGTTTGATTTATATGACTCATGTGACATAAACATATGTGAAAAGCAAACTTTTATGTGGTTGCAGACATTCAGGCTAAGATTTTACCAGGGGTAACGCATTGGCAGAGCCCAAATTTTTTCGGATACTACCCTTCAAACAGCAGTGTTGCCGGATTCCTAGGCGAGATGCTAAGTGCAGGCCTTAACATTGTGGGGTTTAGTTGGATAACTTCTCCAGCAGCAACTGAACTTGAAATGATCGTCTTGGATTGGTTTGCTAAAATGCTTAAACTTCCTGAAGAATTTCTTTCAGCAGGTGAGATGATTGTTCTCTATACAACTATATTTTTTTAATGAATTTCTCATAAAAAATTGTGCTTTTTCTCCTTTATCAATAGATGAAGAAAGATATTTCTTCAACCGTTGAGCTTCTGGACTTATAGTCAGATATATTGTTGCAGGACAAGGCGGTGGAGTGATACAAGGCACAGCTAGTGAAGCAATTCTGGTTGTACTATTGGCTGCTCGTGATAGGATTTTGAGGGCGGAAGGAAAAGAAGCCCTTGAGAAGCTTGTTGTGTATGCATCTGATCAAACACATTCAGCTTTGCAAAAGGCTTGTCAGGTACCTTCCTTATGTGCTCTAGTATCAACATAGTTGTATATATTGTAAACACTTAAATTCAGCTTGCTATATTGATAATATCTTTCATTTTTAATGATTTTTATTGTTTAATGGCAGATAGGGGGAATCCATCCTGAGAATTGCAGGATGCTGAGTACCGATTCCTCTACTAACTATGCCCTTTCTCCCAATGTACTTAATGAGGCGATTTCAAATGACATCGCAGATGGTTTAGTTCCATTTTTCTTATGTGCAACAGTAAGATACAAAGAAACTTCAGATCCTAAGCATGTTTCCATTTTGTTCTTGAAATGTTCATTAACGGGATAAATTTTGGTTTAAAAACAAATATTCGAACTATTTAGAATAATGGAATAAGTTTACCACATGCATAAAATTAGAATCCTTATTAACTAAAGAAACTTTGCATCTGTACTTTTAGGTTGGTACTACTTCATCAACGGCTGTTGATCCTTTGCTAGAACTGGGAAAGATTACTAAGGTGACAAATGAATCATCTAATCTGCTTTATGGTTTATCAATTTTATGCAAAACCTCTTTTAATACAAAGATCGTGTACATTAAACTTTTGTGACATACTCTTGTCAATAATTGTAATTCTTCGCATTTTCTCAGAGCAATGGAATGTGGTTCCATGTGGATGCTGCATACGCTGGTAGCGCTTGTATATGTCCAGAATACCGAAACCACATTGATGGTGTTGAAGAAGCCGACTCATTTAACATGAATGCACATAAATGGTTTCTTACGAACTTTGATTGTTCGTTGCTCTGGATCAAGGTATGTCATTACGCGGTTGTGCACATTGTTCATCTGCTAATTACTTTGTACTTCCTCCAGGTTTTGCCAACTGCTACTCTCTCTACGAACCACATGCGAGCATCAGTTCTGAAGAATTTGCGCAATACCATTATCATTTTCTGCATTCACGATATGAACTTTGAGAACTGCCCAAATAGTTCTACATGAATTGTACTTCCATGCAGTCAACTTGTAATGGAAACGTGTGATCCTGTGGGAAATTAATATGCTCGTTCATTAATTGTCGGAGATTTAGCATGACAATTTTGCCTTGTGACAAAATATCTGTTTTGTGTGACACCGTTTTGCTATCGTTTTCCAGTTCTTGTGATTGATTAATAGAGCATATACTTATTTACTTATAACAGGATAGAAACGCTTTGGTCCAGGCGCTGTCTACAAATCCTGAGTTCCTTAAAAACAAGGTAATTTTCTCCTAAATTATCTTCTTTACTATTAGCTATGGGTATTTCACACTAGCGTTTTCTCCCTTCTGCACTTCTTCCATTGTTTCCATCCCTTAATTCTCCCTTGATTATTACGTTGTTGATCCTGCAGGCCTCTGAAGCAAACCTGGTTGTGGATTACAAAGATTGGCAAATTCCACTTGGACGTCGGTTTAGGTGTGCCTTTGAACATTTTTTTCACATATATAGTTAGATTGGTCTTTTGAGTACTCGAAGCTCATATATGCAACCTAGTTGGGAGAAAATCAATATATTTACTTTCGTAAGGTTCCCAAACGCGGCAATATAACTCTCCGTTGTACTGCGCTCAGTGACATTGGGTTGTCTTAGCCCTAATTTAGTACTGAAGTGATTCTGAAAAAAAACCAAAAACACATAGCTGCAAAACCCAGCTTTGAAAAACCAGTTTTTTTTCACATCTGTTCATAAAAGTTTATCAAACACTATAATACTGTTTTTTTTTTTTTTTTCCAAAGGCACTTTTACAAAAAAGTTTACCAAACACTCTGCTGCTTTATTTCATAGTTGATTATTCTCACAACACATTAAAGACAGTTTTTTTTTCAAAACATAGTAATACCAAACCAGCCATTAGTAGTAGAGAGATCATTTAGAGTAGAATCTCTCTCTTTAAGAAGGTAAGCTAATGTCGAGCCTGGTAGCGTGGACTTATAACTAAGTAGAGGATTAAAGTGATTGGTTGCTTGGATGAAGCCTAACCAGGTGAGGTTACGGTGGTCTTGGTCTGTTTGGTGAAATCACACAATGCGCATCCTTAAGCCCTCGGGTTAGTAGGGTCCCCCATCCACCATGATTGGACACCTAATAAAAAAAAAAAGGAAAAAAAAAAAGAATGTAAGTTAATAAACTAACACATTAAAGCTAATATCTGAGTGTTATATATCGACTGCTGCTTCCAGATCACTAAAACTATGGATGGTGCTAAGACTTTATGGTCTGGAGAATCTACAATCCTACATAAGAAACCATATCGATTTGGCTAAATGCTTCGAAGATCTTGTTGCTCAAGACTCCAGGTTTGAGGTAATTAATTGTATTCCTAGTGAAGTTTCTTGTTTGACTACTATATTTCATTACAAGTTGAATGCTGCAATATTATGAACATTTACCTTGTTGATAATTCACCATAACTGGCAGATTGTTACTCCCCGAATATTTTCGTTGGTTTGTTTCCGTCTTCTACCCCCTCACAACGATGAAACTTATGCGACGAAACTGAACCATGACCTACTAGATACTGTAAACTCGACTGGAAAAATTTTCGTTTCTCACACGGTAAGCTCACTATTTGGTATCGTTGACACCTTTTCTCTGTTGTAAATTCGCAATTCCTGATGATACCAACATGTTATATATGCAGGTCTTGTCAGGAAAGTACGTATTACGTTTTGCAGTAGGAGCTCCATTGACTGAGGAGAGGCATGTGCTTGCAGCATGGAGGCTTTTGCAGGAGGAGGCTTCTGCCCTCCTTGCACCTCTTTAGTTTTTAGGATATGATTTATTTCTGTCTAACCCTAAACTATATTATGCAAATGTGGGTTATGGTAGTTGGTCAAAGCAGTGTGACGGTCTCTTAGAATAAATTAAAGTAGTTTAAAAAAACTATATAATAAATAAAAAAGTGCGCAAAGCTCTTATTTATACAAATAGGAAATCGTAATTAAATTTACAAGAAGAGCGGTGGAAGTGAGGGGAATAAATAAGAAGAATTAATGGAAACATCTTGAAAGTCAATATAACTTAGGGTCTGTTGATAACCATTTTTAATTTTTATTTTTTGGCTTTTACTTTGGTGCTTGATATATGAGGAAATATATGTGAATAACAGTGAAAACCAAAAACTAAATACGAAATGGCAGTCAAACAAATCCTTAAAATAGTTTTTGGCTTTTGATTTTTAGTTTTTAGTTTTCATTTTGTGTACTGTCTTATACATATATTCTACCTTTGTCCTCTATCAGTCATCCACTCTAGCTTTTACATCCCTCCTTCCTCTTATGTATTTTTCAAAAATAAAAACTAATAACTAACATGAACAATAACTAATAACTAAAAATGAAATAATATTAGTTATGATCTCTGAGATTTGCATAATTTCTCATGTTGGTCTCTGAGATTTGAAATCTATATGATTGATCCCTAAGGATGTAGTCAAATTAGAATTTGACATGATTTTAATGGACTTTAAAATCAGAGGGTAGTCAATTAGGATTTTAGAAAATGATTTTAAAAGACTTTGAAATCATGGTATAGTCAAATTAGGATTTAAGAAGATTTTAAAAATACATCCAAATCCAGAGATAGTCAAATGAGATTTTAAAAGACATTTTTAGAATGATTCTAAATCTATGGGTATTCAAAAAATAAAGATTTGTTAATATTTCATGAAGAAATGGATTTCATTGGATTGAAGAGCTTGAAGTATATATACCCAACACCAAATACAATCCCACCTCAACCCCTAGGATTTCTTTCAAGCTTATGTTCCATTCTCTCTCTTCGGCCCTCACTTCTCAGCCATAAGCAGCAGGAGAACTACTTCACTGGTCCATATACTGGTGAATCAATACTCACTCGCACACCTTTGACCCTTTCCACTATTGTTCTCTATATTTTTATGCCTCAATTTGATAAAGGGTCGGTTAAACTCATTGAATCTGCCATGGAAGTGGTAAGTTTGTCAATAAAGTTCCAGATTGACTTGAGCTACGGAAATATACCATTTCAAATCAAATCCTAGACGTTTGATTACCAATCCAATCTGCAAAGTAAGACCAAAATTCAAAACCCACCATCTATAATGTAAGAACATATTGACCCACTGGTAAAAAATCAAAACCAAAGAAGAAGAATTTGATTTGCACCTAAAACTCCAATTGAATCACTCAACCATGCTCCGAATTGAATTTGAATAAAAAACAATCATTCTTCAAGTAGACAGAAAATGGATAAGACAATTAAAAAGTGTAAATTGGGTTGACAAGTCGGCTTGAAAAGAAAGCAGCCGCACAATCATGTTTTAGGGCACGGAGGGAGAAAATGGTTTTTCTTTTGTTATTTGAAAAAAAAAAACAATCTAATAAAGATAAATGAAAAGAAAAGACTAATGCAAATTCATCAAAATCTACAAATAAAATCCATACAAATCCACAAAAATCTATAATATAAATTCATATAAATCTGTCAAAATCCATATAGAATTGTAAGTACATTAAAATCCTTTGAAATCTGTCATTTAAAAAAAATCTATTAAAATCCTCTGAAATCCAAATTGACTAAACCCTCTAAGTTTGTCAACTATCAATCATTTTGATTATTCCGTAAAAAATCTCCATTATACAAGAATAAAAGGACCAAAATGCCCTTAATTTTGTCAAATCATTTTGGTCTATTGTTTATTAAATTGAGGGTATATTTGTCATTTTGATCCTTATTTAACGTAATATTGAACAGAAAGACCAAAATGATTGATGGTGGACAATCTTATGGACCACTTCTATTGATTTCAAATCTCAGAGACCAAAATGATGTGTTATGTAAATCTCAGAGACCATTTTGGCTAAAAAACCCAATAATATTCAAACAATGGAGTAGAAATCAATATTCTCTTTTGTTGCATCTTCCAGCATGAATGGTATATCTGTTTCCTAGCCGACACACTTCTAGACTAACACAAACACTCGTTTTAAAACATTACACGGAAATAATCTGATTCATTCATTTTCGATTCCTATTTGAACCTGTTTGCAGGGTGATGGTAAAAGTTTATTTTTCAGAAACTGCTACCACTTTTTATACGAAACTGTTAGCTTTAAATACGTTCAAATTACATATCGAAATGCAGTAATTTTTAGATTAATATTTGATTTGTGGGGTAATAAAATTACAGATATTTTATCTCAAGCTAAAAGAAATCATTAAAATTACATATCGCAACGCACAAGTTTAATGTGCCAGTGCCATCACATTCACTTCAACTATCCAAATCATATCTTTTCGTTTGGTAGATTTTGTGGAACACGTTGCTTCCATCTTTTAGACAAATGTTAACCACATATGTCACTACCAACTTTCACAATCGATCTTTATCACAATTTATCCCATGTATATAATAATTTTTTGGGTAAATTACATAAAACTACCTTAATTATTGGGTCAGTCACAGTTTCATACCCCGTTTTTAAAAAATTTCAATTTCATACCTCATCTACGAATTTGTTACAATTTCATATCTTCCGTCAGTTGTCTGTCAATTCCTCCATTAAATATTGACGTGGCTTGAGACGGGACCCACTTTCTATTAAAAATTAATTAAATGTTCAAAAAATTAATTAAATATTAAAAAAAAAAACACCAAAAAAAATCCAAACCCACACCCAGATCCCCTTCCCATCTTCCCCATTGACCTGTGTTCCTCACCCTCCTTGCCCTCCCTCCCCCCCCCCCACCCCAAACCCTTCCTTCCAACCCAGAACCCCACCCCCACCTCCCCCGCAACCTTTTTCTCTCTCCCGAGCCTCCCAACCACCTCCCTTTCCTCCACTCTTCGAACTCGACCCCTCTAAGCCCAACCCGACCATCCACCTAGACGACAATCCCAAACCCCCCTCACCACTAGTAGCAGCAACGACATCATGCTCGTCACCAAGATCCTGATCCACATCGCTACACCCAAATTGTGATCAGCTCCAACGAGGGTGAGCAAGATAGGTCTAGTGAAGGTAATGGTCGTAGAGCTCCTAGTACTCAAGGACCAGTTAAGGTGGTCCGACTTCGACGGGAATGAAGGGTTGGGTGGGGTGCGACGATCTGGACAATCTGGGTTCAGATTTGTTTCTGATTGTTTTTATTTTATTTTAATTTTTTAAGTTTTGAATGGGAGGGGAGGTGAAGAGAGTGGAGGAGATGGAGGTGGTTGGGAGAAGAGGGGTTGCGGGGGTTGCGGGGGAAGGGGGTCAGGTTCTGGGTTTGGAAGGAAGGTTTTGGGGGCGGGGAAGGGGATCTGGGTGTGGGTTTGGATTTTTTTTATTTTAATTTTTGTTAATATTTAGTTAATATTTAATTAATTTTTTTTAATATTCAATTAATTTTTTAATAGAAAGTGGGTCCCGCCTCAAGCCACGTCAGCATTTAACAGAGGAATTAACAGACAACTGACGGAAGGTATGAAATTGTAACAAATTCGTAGATGAGGTATGACATTGACATTTTTCAAAACGGGATAACTCAATAGTTGAAGTAGTTTTATGTAATTTAACTTTTTTGTCGACATATAACAAAATTATTGTTACTTATTGAGATTCTTATTTTTATAAATTCAACATCAACGGCAGAAAAGGTCCGCACTTTGGTGATAATTGCATGAAAAACTATTTTCTAGCTAGGCATTTGCGGCATGTAAAACGTTCATATATGTGTGTGAAAAATGTTGTCCCTTATCCTTATGCATGTTGAAGAGCGCTATCACCATCACATTTATGATTGGGGAAAATAGAATGCAACATTTCACAAGCCTTGTGGTTGGACGGACGTTATATATGGTACCCTAACCCGACCCTTTTTCCTGCCGTACAAAAATCGGGGTCACCCTGATCATGATTGGCATCTCACCGACAATGAATATTTGTTACTTCTATCATTGATGCCGTGTGTGACATCTCACATCGTCCAGGGGAGTGATCCGTATATGTATATTCCCATCTTTACCTAGCACGAGTCCTTTTGGGAGCTCACTGGCTTTGGGTTCCGTAGGAACTCCGAAATTAAGCGAGAATGGGGTTAGAGCAATCTCATGATGGGAGACCCACTGGGAAGTTGCTCGTGAGTTCCAAAAAACAAAACCGTGAGGGCGTGGTCGGGACCCAAAGCGGATAATATCGTGCTACGGTGGTGGAGCTGGCCCGGGGAGTGATCTGCCTCGGGCCGGGATGTGACAATATGGTATCAGAGCCTAACCCTGGTCATGGTGTGCCGACGAGGACGTCGGGCCCCTAAGGGGGGTGGATTGTGACATCCCACATTGCCCAGGGGAGTGATCCTTATATGTATATTCTCATCTCTACCTAGCATGAGGCCTTTTGGGAGCTCACTGGCTTCGGGTTCAGTAGGAACTCTAAAGTTAAGTGAGAAGGGGGCTAGAGCAATCCCATGATGGGTGACCCACTGGGAAGTTGCTCGTGAGTTCCCAAAAATAAAACCGTGAGGGCGTGGTCGGGGCCCAAAGCGGACAATATCGTGCTACGGTGGTGGAGCGGGCCCAGGAAGTGGTCCCCCCGGACCGGGATGTGACACCGTGTGCACTACTCGCTAGAGAGAGAGCTCAAATCTTTGATTTCATGATCGTCTAAGCTTAAAATGGCAGGGTCTACCAGAAGAAGTTTAGATAATCACATATTAAAACTTTGAGGTTTGATAGTGTAAATAGCTAGATTACATACATATATATATATATATATATATATATATAAAGTGTAATGAATTCCAACAGCAAAAGCGGCATAGAAATGAGTTCTTCTACAATAGGCTGGGATTGACGTCAAATTTTAACATATACATCGTTTACATACATGTACAAATAATGTTATGAGTTTGTCATCGCTAAATTTTCAACAAAATAAAATGTCTAAAACTAAAAGTGATGAATTTTTAA